AGCAGCAGCTCAACGTAAGACGCCTGTTAAAGTTTTAATACGATTAGAGCATCCAATTTTGTACGATATGTGCAGAAAATTATCGATAGAAATAGCAGAAAGTCAATTAATAATGTTCTTGTTAAGAAGTTCAAGTTTTCAAGTTACCCGGAGGAATTGAGCGTGAGATACTTCGATACAAATTATATGTGATCCGGGGGTCAAATTCATGTCTGGAAAGGCAAAAGATAACTGTCTGTTGCGCGCAAAACTTTTGTTGGCCAAGTTTAAACATCGAGGGTCTGCGATGTTTCGTTTTTGTTCTGAGAAAAACTTTGACCAGGACCATATGGTCTAACGAACGTATGACTGTTAGTTATGCAGAGACCCTAACGACGTTACCCAACCCGTCATGTACACCGTTTCCAACAACTATGATAGTTCTGAGAGTCAGGAGCATCGACGGAAATATCATGCCTTCTCACTTATTTCCTACGAGCTTAAGGGTTAATGTTTCTGGATATAAGGAAGTGTTGGATAGGTTCGTGTGGCCTTGGATACAAAGCGTGAGCCGTTTTATAAGGCCAAAATAATCCAAGAATGAATGAATTACAATGTTCACGATCGCATCATCCCAAACATATAGCCTCATAACTCTCCAGACGTAAATTCGATGTATTATTACATCCGGGGCATAGTCGAGAAGGAGGCCAATCAACTTCCCCAGAAAATTATAAAATCTCTGAAGTCCGTCATTAGTAGAACCATGTCGAAGACGACCTGATTCTTGCATGAAAATGCTTCAACACTCGTATTGAAAGAGACATTGATACTAAAAGCAAATTCATTAAGTGGATGCATCGAGAAGAGACAAGTATATTCAAGCCATTTTTTCTCAAATAAAGCTCTTCGTTCATGATGCGTCTTTTACTAAATTCATGTAAATGTCCTCAAAGTACTTAACCACCCTATATTAATAATAACTTCAGAAACGCTTGGAGTGCAATCACTCTGGCATCACACATATGCACAAGAAGAGCCAATGATTGTATCCGGATAAACGTTGCCATACCTTGGGATAAGAACATCGATGAGAGGGAGTCGTCGAACATGCAGAAGTACAAAGACCTGGAAGGGCCAATCGGAGAATTATGCAACACAGCAGCTCAATTTTTTCCTTTTATGGTTGGAGCACTCGGGTATAATTCCAGGAATCGTTTTCTCTTGCGAATCGCCTTGGGAATACCTGACATCATTGGAAACGCACAGGCGGTAGCACTGCTTTGAACAGTGCCTGGGATGATTAAAGGGCTGTGTCTGTAACCTGTCGGGTAGATGCTGAGATATGAGCATCATCACCCGGACAAAACATCTCAGTGTCGGAGAGGATGGCAAACAACACCACCACCACCAACAACAACAACAAAAACAACAACAACAACAAAAACAACAACAACAACAACGACAATGATAATAATAATAATAAATAAAAGAAGAAGAAGAAGAAGAAGTAGATATACTAGTTGACAATTAAAAGAAAAGCCCTCACACGTAAATAAGCTCAAAGCCCATAATTCGTTAAAGAGTGTAGGGCTAATAGACCTATTTTTGTGACTTTAGCATTCGTAGGTTACTATTATTAATAATAATATTTATTTAGGTATTTATAAAGGCTGCACAGTAGCAATCTCCAGAAATTACCATGCAAATTGAATAGAATTTAGAGAATTACTGATGTAATTTTCTACCAAATTTGCCAGGGTAAATGACACAAAATTATTTAATAAATGTGCAACTCTCACTAACAGAACAGATGTAAGTAAATGATTCATATATAAAGAAGCTTTACTAAAAGCTTCTTCGAAGAAGGCATTGCTGATCTCTTTGTGTCCTTACGCCGGTTAAGACAGAACCCCTATTTTGTCTGTAAGAAAACAAGGTTCAATACTCACCGTAATTATTTTTGATTTTCACTCACTTTCCCTTAATCCATACAGACTGCCGAATTCGCTAGTTCTCGATCAAAAACAGAATAAGATTAACAAAAGAAGGAATCGTGCTTTGTTGAAAAACAGTGGGCAGTTTGATATTGTTAAACTGACATCTTCTTTCGTGTGTCATGTTCTTTACGAGTGTGGATTAGTATGGTTCACTTCAACTTCTATTTTGTTACCATTTTCCTTTCTTACTTTTCTGTCTTCTTGTTCGCAAATCTTACGCAAGGGTTTGAAACACTCAAAATGCATCACTATACAAATTAATAATAATTTCTTCTTCGTATGAGGACATTCTGGACAGTACTATTAAAACCACTTCGAATGTATGTATGCAGATCTTTCCAAAAAACGAACTTGTATTCTTCAGTCAATTGTTTTTGGAGCCAAAGTTGGATTTTTGCCCATGACAGAAAAAAATCTTATTACAACACGTACCTTAGTATATATATATATATATATATATATATATATATATATATATATATATATATACTAGCAATCATTTTTGGTGTGACGTCAATGGGCCTGCGCTCAATATTAAGGCTGTTCTGGCTGTTACAAGAAGTATAGCATCTTCAATATTGCAGTATATTTATAGATTTCACACTGTTTTAATGCTGGTTGATTTATGCATATTTGTACCTATGTTTTCTGACATACGTCTTGCCTGCAACTAATTTATTTCTGCAGATCTTCCTATTTGGGGATGTTTTTCATGACTTGTCTAAATGTCCAGTCTCTCTTTGATTTTTTTCTTTTTTTTTTTTTCTTTTTTTTCTTTTGGTGGGTGGGGGGATTATTTCTTGTTTTTCATTTTTGGTTCCGTCGCGTATAGCAGCTTATATATTTCTTCAATGTTTCCGAGATCTTAAAAATCAATGTACTAAAAACATTTCTTGCTGGATATATACATAATTACTTCAGCTACTTCATTTCATAGTATGCATCTAATTGTTTGAGGCAAAATTGATACACACCAAAAAGACGTCATGCTTTTACGAAGTACAATATGAACAATGCAAACTACATATACATATATATATATATATATATATATATATATATATATATATATATATATATATATATATATATATGTGTGTGTGTGTGTGTGTGTGTGTGTGTGTGTGTTAGGTTTTCCTTAAATATGCGAGTACTTTCGACGGGTTCTCCAGTCATCATCAGGAATGGAAACTATTTTCTTTTTTTGCTAAAATTCGGGTAGCATCCAAGACGAAAAATATAATGCAAATCAAAATAAGCTTTTTTGAAGTGTGTTATTGATAACAGATATGGAGAGTGCAGTCGCAACGGTAAGGTTGAAGTTTTTGAAAGTTTAAGTGCGAGTGTTTTTTACTAATATGGCAACTTAAGAATTTCTTTGTTGTAAGTGTTTATCAGTCAATGTGACCTGAATTAAATAGTTCAATAACGAAAGCAAAGTCTCAGCTGTCTTCCCGAAAGCTTGCACGTCTGATCAGTTTCTGTCTATATTTCTGAGATGAGGTATTATGTACATTATTTACATTATTCGGACTTTGTTGCCATATTTATTACAACGTTTCGGCCGTTGTACGCTCCGGCCTTCTTCACGTGGTTGGAATATGGAACTGAACCCTTTATTTTGCTCACTGGGGTAGACTGTTCTAGTTCAACGTGGCATGTCTAATGGATGCCAGTTATCAGTTATCTCCTGTTAATTTTCACTCTGAAAGTTCTCCACTGCCTTAACTGGGTATTGAACTCACACACTCTGGGTTCTGTCAACTGGATCTAACCAACGCCTTTATCCACTGTGTGATGTGTCCTTGAGGTTAAGGCAGTGGCGAACTTTACACTCTCTCCAAATTCTATTTTTATTTCCGGAGTTGTTCTTTTCTATGTTCTTTTTTGAATTTGTCGGTCTGATGAATTGGATCGTATTTACGATTCCAATGGAATAAATTATGACCATGGAATATTAGTGTTTAAGCCTTTTTATTATTATTATTATTATTATTATTATTATTATATATATATATATATATATATATATATATATATATATATATATATATATATATATATATATATATTGCTATAAACATTATAATTAGTGAATAGAACTAATAGTACAGTTAGTATTTTAATAAATGAATACGTATTAAACTTTCTTCAATTAATTTTTTTCAGTATTCTTCGATTATGTTATATTAAGTTCTTTATTTTAATATTCATTTTGTATCAATTAGTTTTATTAACTATCAAAAACTTTCCCTTCATTTAAAAAAATGAATATTACCATTTTTTCATATAATTGTATTCAATATTCTTTGTTTAATTCAAAATTTTTACAAAGTTATATTGAATTATGAATTAATATTGTTGAAGTTATATCCAATTATGAATATTGTCGAAGTTATATTGAATTATGAATTAATATTGTTGAAGTTATATTGAATTAGGAATTAATATTGTTCAAGTTATATTGAATTAGGCATTAGTATTGTCGAAGTTATATTGAATTATGAATTAATATTGTTGAAGTTATATTGAATTATGAATTAATATTGTTGAAGTTATAATGAATTATAAATTAGTATTGTCGCAGTTCCCAAGATGCATCATTGAGCATTTGATGTAGTAATTATTCAATTTTTTAAAAGTATATTACTCTGAAATTTGCATAAAATGAAAATAACATTAACTGTACTGAAATTGTTATTTTTTTTCATCGTAATATTTTACAGATTTGTTTGTATTATTTTTTTAAAAAAAGTCTATGATTTCATTTGATAACATTTAAAAGTATACGCAGTAAAAAAATTTGCGAAGTATGGCGTGATATTTTCATTTGATCTTAGGTGTGTCGTTGCTCTAAATGTTTTGGAAAACTGGTTTCCAGTCATAGGAAATAATATCGAATTATTTATATATATATATATATATATATATATATATATATATATATATATATATATATATATATATATATATATATATCTGTGTGTGTGTGCGTATGATTAATACAAATAAAACGTGTCACTAAGTATATATTTTATAAACATGAATGTATATATATAGAAAGAGTGAGTCCGTGAGGTTGATAGATAGATAGATAGATAGATAGATAGATAGATAGATAGATAGATAGATAGACATTTGAACCGATTGAGATAGATAGATAGATAGATAGATAGATAGATAGATAGATAGATAGATAGACATTTGAACCGATTGAGATAGATAGATAGATAGATAGATAGATAGACATTTGAACCAATTGAGATAGATAGATAGATAGATAGATAGATAGATAGATAGATAGATAGATAGATAGATAGACATACATTTGAACCGATTGAGATAGATAGATAGATAGATAGATAGATAGATAGATAGATAGATAGATAGATAGATAGATAGATATTTGAACCGATTGGGATAGATAGATAGATAGATAGATAGATAGATAGATAGATAGATAGATAGATCAACACAGAGTGATAACTGTCAGTTTCACACCTGAAATAATGATCAGGTCTTTTAATCATTGGTTAAAGCGTGGAAGTAATACTCACGATGCAATATTGATTTTTATGTCCACTATGTTTATATCTACAAACGCTCTATCCCCGACATTGAGTAATTTTTCTTCATCAGTAAAGTAAAATGTGTTTGCGATATGTTCATGTGTATATATAAGGATTTAAATAATACTTACTTTCTCCGGTGTGTTTCTTCTTCTTTGCAGTCTATCAGTAACTAATTTTTGTTTTTGTTAATTTTTTATTAACGTTTTCTTTGCATCAGTGTTTTCCTGTTCGTCTTTTTAATTTAGAGACATATGAAATGACCATTTATTTGTTGTTATTCTGATTTTTAAAATCATAGATTATTTATAAAACCGAAAATTTACAGGTTTTTCAAAATATTTGATGACGGGAAAAATTTGTAGATATTTTGTATAAGTACATTTGCGTAAATGCTACTGGGAGTGTTTTCCTTAATTTTATTTATAAGTCATAACAAAATGAATGAAAAGTGATTTCAGGATTTATTTCATATTAAAAATGCAAAACAAAAATAAATTAAATAAACTAAAAAGTTAAGAAAGAAAAATGGATATGACAAAAACGTTTATATAAAGAGAGCCAACTTTATGTGAGTTTCAAATAGTTGCAAATTAAAGTTTTTTCAACATGGCTTCTTCATTCCCGCGTTAAATTAAACTTTAGAAAAAAACGCTGTTTTGACATTCACTTTGAAAATCAAATAATACAATTTTTTACAGTAATTCGATTATTTTAATGTTGGTAACGACATACTTTCATGAGACATATAAACATAGTAAATTTTTTTAAAAATACTGGTGAAAGCCACAAACTTACCTGGCGAAAATCGCCTACAGCGTGTGGGTAATTTTATATTCGGTTAACTACGAGAGACTCTGAACAGCAAGTTAAAATTCCACATGAAAAGAACACGTTCAAAAACATTATGCAATGTCAATTAAATTTACAAGGCAGAAATATGTGTTAAGAAGTGAACATTTCTATTTGACGAAAATATATAGCAAGTTGGAGGTGCGAGTGACGTCAGAGTGGAAACTAAGAATTGCAGGCCGAGTTGTAATTTCGTCCGAATTTATTGTGTTCACGTTGCGCTAATGGATCAGTTTTCTTCTTTCTGTAGTTTTTAGTAAATAGTAAAGTAGACTGAGCTTTTTTTAGGGCTGATCAGGCAACCAGCCTAGAAGGACAAATCTTAATTCAAAAAAGGCAACGTGAAATTCGTAGATATTAAAGGAAAAAGAATCAAGGGGGGTGCATAACCGCATACTTCTTGAATGAATATATTTAAAGAAGACATATTGTATATGTTGACCACATATGCACCGAAATCATATTTATTAAGCAATTTTTTCTAGATTTCACTCAATACGAGGCTCGACAGAAAGGAAATATTACAGTCTAAATGGTAAGGATGAACGAGGCATGAGAGATGAGTCAAATAGGATTATAGAAAATGAAGATTATAAAGATAAAAAGGAAAAAATAACGATGAACCAGTGATTTGAAAAGGTCAAGATTGAAATGTTCAAAAAATTGTTTTTACGGTTTATCTACCTTTTGCAGGTTAATTAAAACCAGAAAATATTTTAAGAATATTTTTTTATCTATGATGATACGTCCTACTAATTACCTTATAGATGGGGCGGGGGAGGAAGAGGTGCCTTTACCAAGTGTGTTTGCGCTTAAATGATTATAACGAACCCGACTGGAATTGGAACTCGGCTCCCCGATTACCATTTCTGAATCTCTATCCATTACACCAACTGCACATCCAAGATTGCAACACTTGGTATTCCCAAGTGGTTACCCATCTAGGTACGGACCAAGTTCGACGTTGCTTAATTTCGGGTATCGTAGGAGGGCCGTCTTTTCAACGTGATATGGCTGGAAGCCTGAAATATTCAGGGAACACACGTGGATTTTTTTTTTCATAAATTGGTAGTTGTTGCTGTTCGAGTGTACATTCTTCTCATAATTGGAACACGGAAGAAATAAGGATGATTCAATTACGTGGAAGTGTCATGGCGTGTCCTAGTTGTACAGACTCGAACTTGCAGAACTGAAGAATAGAGCTTATTTGAATATTTGCCATGGAAATGGCGAGTAGCAACAGGCTTGTAACGTTGTGTATACAGAAGAAAGGCTGCAGAAGGAAAATCAGTCACTCTCAACCTATAAAACTGATAAACGGTTTTGAACCATATACTTGAAAAATAAGGATTAAATATCTGCAGCTCAGATATGGCAGCAATATTTCTATTTTTGACATAACATAATTTTTGTAAAGATAAAGCGGAGTAGTATGATGTAAATCTATTCAAGACTAACAATTCCTAACGATCTTCATGAACCTACTTAAGAAAAACGACTTCGTAAAAACTTCCAGAGACGCCATTTTGTGTAGCAACCTCTATTCCACAACTTGTCAAAGCTTATCTACATTTTTCCAATTATCTAATAATTGTGAGACCGGAAACTACCTACACAATAGACTCTTCCAGGCCTATATTAAGTAGACGACATAGCACTCTACAGAGAGTGACAGAGAGACACAGAGAGAGACAGTGAGAGCCGCGTACGACTACCAGTATTGGACACTAACATATAGTAAGCTCCGCTTACACTATCTCTGTAACTTATTGTTAATATATCTTTCTTACATCTAATCCGTGTTCTGTGTGTTCCTTCTGTGGTCCCAAGTTTGGCACCCACATTACTAATTGATAAGAACCTAACTATCTGGACGTTCAACATTCAAAAACCTGGAATTTTTATATGGACTCAAACTCCGACTGGGGAAAATACATAATTATTTGAGCTCGTGAACGATGTCGGAATTGTGAGCAAAAAATATTCTGCAAGACCGCGGATCTCTCCCACTTTAGCTTGTCTAGCAGAGAACAAGAATCTATGAATTCCCATTGATTAGAGATCCCATCACAATGACGGTCTTCGAGACAAGATTTCTAACCGTTGCTCAAAATATATTTATAAATACTTTGTATGGTACAGATATAAATAACAGATACCTCTGCGAGGATTGAACTTGCGATATTGCCAGTCGTCTGCGAGATTGGATCGTTAACCAACAAATATCCAGCACATATTTACTATGCTTATACGAGCACACAGACATAAAGCATCTCTCGGGGCGGAACTGAACATACCAGAACACTGTAGTCTTTACTAGATAAACTTACTAACAAACAGTCTAGGAAAAGAGTCCTATATTATATCGTGAATTGAAACAGTAGGAGCTGAACACATTAAAAAGATTATTTATTATTGAAGGAAAACCGAAGCAGTTGAATTAAAGAAAAGTCTATTAATTCTGAATAATGGCTTTTGATAACGGAACGGCAAAAACGTCATTTTTATCATCATTCAGCCCATTGTATCTCTGTCATCAGTTTGGCTATTGTCTGCTTCTTTGTCATTTGTTGAACAGTAGAAAGAAAATGAAAAACAGAAATGAAAGATGCCTCCGAGAAAGAAAGAAAGAAAGAAAGAAAGAAAGAAAGAAAAAAAAAAGAAAGAAAGACAAAGAAAGAAATGAAAGTAAGAATTATTTTTATAAGAAATAAAGACGGTGATAAGTACGAATACTAGAAGAAAGTGAAAATAAGAAAGATAGCTAGAAAAAAAATAAATGTAGGATATGGAAGGCTATAAGAAAGAAAGAAGGAAAACGGTTAGAAAGATAGGGAGAAAGAAAGGAAGAAAGAAAGAAAAAAGGAAAGAAAGAAAGCAAAAAGAATAGCTATATAATATAAACAAAGAAATGTGAGTAACAAAGACGGTTAAATAAAAGAAAAGCACGAATTAATGCGCGAAAATAAGAAAGTCAGCCAGAAGAAAGAAAAAAGAAAGACTGATGCCTATAAGAAAGACATGGCAGTTACAAAAATGGCTATATGAGCGCTTTCTAATAAGTACCGCGCATATAACACATATATATATATATATATATATATATATATATATATATATATTTTTATATACACACACATACACACATACACACACACACACACACATATATATATATATATATATATATATATATATATATATATATATATATATATATATATATATTCACAACTCATTCTCGTTGATATGGTAACTACTAATGTTTTTGCTACAAGGGAATATTTTTAAAAATATGGAAAACCAGGTTGATTGACTGATAAGTATATAGGCAGATTGCTTGATATCAAACTTTCTTGTGTAATACTCAGTAAGTTTTGTGTCATACCGTGATACACTCTTAGGCGATCATGTATCTTTCGATACATGACTGACGTGGCAGATTTTTTTCTCACGGTAGGTTTCCCTTTATTTCAGTGGTAGACCAGTTGCCATCTAAGGCTATATAGAACTCAGTCTGTCCTGCTATTTACCCATAGCTGGGAGGAGAAGAAGAGGATCCTTAACTTTCCCAAAGGTATTAACACGTAATTGAATGTAATGGAGCTGACTGGAATCCATTTCTTCTTACTCACCGTACCATTACTAATTTTGTTATGAGTTTTAAGCAAATTGATATTTTATTAAAAGATAAGAAACCAGACAGCACCATTACCACATAATTTTCTGAATTACATTTAAATTTAAAGAAGATATGTTTTATATAAATTGATCACAAGTGGAACGACAAGCATTTATTTAGATTCAAAACTCATTTTTATACTTGATTTCTATTAAATGAATCATTCAAACTTATATACATTTGCCGGGTCGTCAGTCCGTTATGTGTGCCAAGTGTGATACACGCTTAGGCGATCATGTATCTTTCGATACATGGTTGGCAGTAGGTTGTCATAACTTTCTACGGTGAACCAGTTGCCATCCAAGACTATAGAACCCGGTCTGTCCTGCTATTTTCCAATAGCTGACGGGGTGGGGAGAAGAAGAGGATTCATAACTTTCCCAAGGCTATTAGCATGTAAGTGAACATATTGGATTCCACTGGAATTCGAACTCGACTCTTCGATTAGTCAATCCTAGCCGCTATCCATTACTTCAACGTCAGCAAGTACGAAATGAAATTAAGCATACCAAAAACGAACGCTTTGTCGTCTTACAAGAGTTAGCATGCTTGGTTTACGTAGTTTCAATAGGAGTGAGATCGATTTTTATTGTCTTGCCTCGTTTTGGGGTAAGCTTGATAAATAAAGCTCTTATCTTAGCATGGCATTACATTTAGCAAACTTGTTCGCCAATGCCCTGGTTTCAGTCATCTTTCTTTGATCGTAGATTATTCCTGCCTTCCTTTCTTCTCTATTTTGGCTTGATGTCCTAGCAAGGTAAGTTGAGTAAATGCTATTCCAATGAGGAGTAGTATTGCTGTACCGAAAAAAAAAATACTCGAATAATTTTCAACAATTATATTTCACATTCTCTTGCTTACAGTATCGATGAAAATATAAATAAATCTTTTTTGTTTTATAAACCGTAATAGCAAATAATGAAGACCAAAATTCAAAATTAACCAGTAAAAGAAAAGTTATTTTGAAATGCTGGTTTAATGATAACTTATTTGAACTCGTGAATTCAATTTGATTCCTGTTAATACTCACGGTGATGGATCTTGAAACCTGTCCTTTTATTGTACTCATTCCTTATAAAGGTTTTATCAGTTCATTTCACACTCAATATCTTCTTGTATCTTAGTGGTTGATGATTAAAACAAAAAAAAACATTTCCAATCGGTTGTATATGCGAATAGACGTTAACTTCCGGTTTCCGTGACTCTATCGATTGTTCATATAAGGTAATTCGCCGAGATAATCACTGCTAAAAATAACTCTTCCTTTAAGGATATTACAAAGGGAAAAGGTGGTTTGTTTATCTGAAACACCGAAAGGTGTGATAACTATTTTGCAATGTTGACTTTAGTTCCGTCAGAGATTTTGTGGATTCCAACGCGCTTCAATCATTAGATTACAATGAAAAATACGGGAATGTGAAAAACTGGTAAGCTATTATAACACAACGTCTATTTGTTTGTTAGATTATTATTATTATTATTATTATTATTATTATTATTATTATTATTATTATTATTATTTCCTTTGATTTTTGGTGTGTACACATTTCTTTCCGGGTCCCGCCCAGAGACCTAAAGTTAGAAATAGCATCATGTCATTTTCCACTGACCAATTAAAAACACACACAGACATTTCCATAGATAAAGCCCTGCATAAGGTGTGGTTTGTACGCGTGAGAACATTATTTTTTTATTTCTTTAAGACAAGAGCTTCCAGGAATCCCTTCATTGAGTCTAATGGAATCTTTTCCAACCAATCCGAGGGCTCCGACTACAACGGGGATTGTTGATGTTCCCATGTGCCACATTTTTGAGATTTCGATTTCAAGCTCCTTGTATTTTGATACCTTTTTTGCAAATCTTTTGTAGCTTTTTGAAGATCTTTGATAGCTTTTTGAAGATTATTATTATTATTATTATTATTATTATTATTATTATTATTATTATTATTTCTTTTGATTTCTCACGTGTACAAATTTCTTTCCAGGTCTCGCCCAGAGACCTAAGATTAGAAATAGCATCATGACATTTTCTACTGAAAAAAAATTACATAGATAAAGCCCTTTGTAAGGTGTGGGCTGTGCTCGTGAGAAAATTTTTTCGTATTTCTTTAAGGCATGGGCTTCCAGAAATCCCTTCAATTAGTCTACTGGAATCTTTTCCAACCAATCCGAAGGCTCCAAGTACAAAAGGGATTGTTGATGTTCCCATGTGTCACATTTTTGAGATTTCTATTTCAAGGTCCTTGTATTTTGATATCTTTTTAAAGATCTTCAAAGATACATTGCATTCCGCAAGGACTGCCATATCAATAAGGAGGCACTTATTTTGTTTGCGGTCTCTAATAACAATGTCTGGGCGGTTAGCTTTGATTGTCCTGTCTGCGTATATCGTGTAGCCCTATTATATTGTAACAGGTCCTATCTCCGTAAGCGTGTCTGGGTGATGTTCATACCAATTTCTCTCAGTTTCCTTCCCGTAGAAGTTATGTTGCTCAATGAAGACGTCACTGGAAATTCTTTTCTTCAGGAATTTTATCAACAAGACACCTCACTACTCAAGAAAATTTACCCGGGCAGTAAGTAATGGTAGTTCTACAATTTTTTTTCAATTTCAATTTTCCCCAACCGTTCATGCGATCTACTAGATAATGTTCCAATTGCACCTATCATGAAAGGAATACTTTATTATTATTATTATTATTATTATTATTATTATTATTATTGTTAATGTTGTTGTTGTTGTTGCTGCTGCTGCAGTAGTAGTTGCTGGTATGTATTTTGGGTCAGTCTTTTCTTCGTTTTATTTTTGATTTCTACGACAAATATCTCGTTCAAATAACACCAAATATTATTCCAAGAACCGTAAATATTGACAAAAATGTATTTCCTTTTAATATGAGCATTAATTATCATTGTCACTAAGTTAGTTTTACATTAATGACTGTTTCACTAAATAAATTGTGAGAGAATATTAAACAGAATACAATTCCAGTTATAAATTTACCGGTAACTCAAATCTTTATGCCATCTTGTTTTGTTTTCATATTACTGCCTAGATATAGTCTTTCATTATCTGAATATTGGGAGAAAATAGTCGCATTATTAATTCATCACAATCTTGTCTTTATCATATTGATTAATTATCAGAAAATCTAATGTGAATATTCCGAAATGGTAAAAATTGTATGAATTAAAGTAGCTCTCGAGAAGAATAAACACATCACAAATCACAGCAGCTATTTTTTTCCTGAACGAGGCCAAACGTTAGATGGGGCACAAGTCTAACTGATGTATTGTCACTTCTTTATTCCAAATTCCAGCAACATATTGTTTTGATAAACTAGTCATAGTTTTAAATTACTTGCATTCAGCGATATAGTATTTTATTAGTACGTGTAAAATGTAGTAATTATTATAATCAAAAGCATATGGGCCAGTGTGCATGATGAATTCTTGTCCATCTTTCAACCCATTTCCCACATTGCTAGTCTCTCTTTACTCTGTTTCGTGGTTCCACCAGTTCAGACCTCCACAGCTGGGTACCGCTATGCCATGTAGACTGAGTCGATTCGTCTTTATTCCCTTCATATTTCATTGTTCCTTTAGGGCGCTTTGACGTGGTTTATTGGTTAGCAAGCTTGTCTCGCTAGAACAATTACGACTGAAAAGTGAGTACGATCCTCAACGAAATCCCTATACGTCCGGCCTTGTGCCACATCTAAGCTACTATTTGAAATCACCATATTTCGTTGTTCCAGTATGCCCTTACAAAAACTTGATTTAGTAACCAACTACTTTGGGTGAATTTGGTGCCTTGTATTGAGTTCACGATAGCAAATAAAATATAATTTTTGTCCGAAATCTTATTTGAATCCTGAGATAATTTTTTTTTTTTATTTATACCTGAAAAATAAAGTAATTATTACAATCAGAATAAATAAATAGAAAAAAAAATTGTTTTTTTTTTTTTTACAGGGGTAAGAAACAACTGTAAAATAAATGAAATCTAAATTATTTTATTAATTCAGCGTTTCGCAATATCAATTTTGTCGCGAAGTCACTTGGAATGAAATTTTTAATCATACCATTGAAAATTATGCCAGCTATATTTCTTCCTGTGTGAAAGCTCACATCGGAGTTTTTTGCCATAGGGTGATACCAAGCGAAGTCGCAATGTTTTCACTGATTCTCCTCTGCCTCTTCAGCCGCTATAGCCCACATGAATTACTTCTTCCAGTTTACCAACGCAATAGTTCCGATCATATCAGACACCTCTTTGTATCCGCTTGTAATAACTGTAAGCGTGTCGTCAGGACGCTAAGTCGCTACTCGTTTATAGAATGAGAACTCGTATAGGCTATATCAAATTTGATTCTCGCCATTACTGGCAGTTCTATAAGAGTTCATTAAACAAAAGTAGATACTCAATCCCTCCTCTCTCCAATCAGCTTTAACTATTGTTATCTACTGTTGATAAAGCCGAATGCATTGCTTTTACATTATCATCCACCTCCATTCTTGATTTATTTGTCTTTGTCTGATGTACACCCCTTAGAACGGATTTCTACTGAGTGATATACACATAACTCCGGCCACAATTTCTACTATCATCTTCAAATAAGATTCCTATAGGGCATGTGATCTTGACAGTATCCCAGCAACTGTCCAAGGGAAATCTCTTCCTGAAATCGCTCCTGTTCTTTACAAAAAATGTCTTGTTGTTTCTTGCTTTCCAGTTTGTTAGAAATCTTCTTGTAGCGTCCGCCATTAAGAATTCGGGTGAACCTCCTGATTCCTTCAATTATCATCCTATTTGTCTTGTGCCTATTTTTGAAAAGTACTCGAGGCTCTAATCTCACTTCTCACAGCCTTCTTTCTGATAGACAATATGGCTTTCGCTTCAACAGTTATTACTGAATTTGTGTATCAATTTTTAGATAAGAACGGCTTGACACGGGTTGTTGCTATAGATATCTCGAAGACGGTTGATGGGGTTTGATATATTGGCCTTCAGAGCAATAAGCATAATACATACATTACCATAGAATTTCGAGTATGAATTAAAGTTGCTCTCGAGATGAATAAACACATCACAAATCCCGACAGCTGCTTTTTCCTGAACAAGGCCATTACCAATGTGACCACTGAAGTTTAACGTTAGACGGAACACAAGTCTAACTATATATATGCCAAATTCTAACTTCTATATGCCAAATTCCAGCAACATATTGTTTTGATAACCAAGTCATAGTTTTATATTACTTAAATTCAGCAATATAGTATTTTATTAGTACGTGTAAAATGTAGTAATTATTATAATCAAAAGCGTATGGGCCAGTGTCCATGATGAATTCCTGTCCATCTTTCAACTCATTTCCCACAGGTGAAATATTGCTAGTCTCTCTCTACTCTGTTTCGTGGTTCCCCTAGTTCAGACCTTCACAGCTGGGAACTGCCGTGCCATGTAGACTGAGTCGATTCTTCTTCATTGAATTTCGAGTATCATTTCAATCTCTACTTGGCTAATGTCCCACGAAACAATAAC